TTTTTTTTTTTTTTTTTTTTTTTTTTTATGCAACTTCTCTTATTTCTTCCCATAAATTACATTTTTTATTTTCAAAATTCTTAAATTTTTTAAATTATTTTTAAAAAAATGTGAGTGTTGATATTTTAAAAAATTAAATATATTTTTAAAGAGTAGTATGATCTATTAAGCGTTGATTTTATAATTATAAAATTAAAATTAGAATTTTATTAAATATAAAATTTAAAATTAATTAAAATTTTTAACGTCATTAGTCATCAATTATCTACTTAACTCCGATATTGATATTTTATTTTAATAAATACGAATGACGTGGATATTGATTCGCACGCCTATTAAACACTTTTTAAAATTAGATTTGGAATTAATATATATATATATATAATAAGGGCAAGTGATGCAAGAGGGAATAGAAATGGAATAGGATTCCTTGTTCTTCATATCCAATCAATCACTCTATGTTTCCTCACAAAATTGTCGGAGCACAACGTTCAAAACCATCATTGGCTTTGAATTTCACATCCTTGACCTCGGCAACTAGTCGATGTATGACTCAAGATCTACTCTCGACTCGTAGTATTCATGTTTGGTTCAGCTAATCTTTAACCTAATTTGCAAGAAGTCGAGGGTTTGTCAACCCTCTACGTTCAATTTGAAGGTTGACCCTCTCATAGGGTTAGTGTTCCAGTATGGTTCATGTTTTAACCTAATTTATAAAAAATATTGAACAGAGTCTCTTAGAGATCGTTAGCTCTTCCTCCTTCTCACGACTTTTTTCACGTTAAATTCTCTATGCTAATTTGAGTATTGAGACTATTATGGCAAACACCACACTATTCTCATGTTCAAAGTCCTTGTAACCACCCATGTCTAGGAATCGAAATCCAAATTTGGCACTCGATTGCTCCAACATCTCTTTGCAACATGCTCACGTTATTTACTTCTCGCTTCTAAAAGTGGAAAATATCAGACCAACCCAAGTCATTCTAAGAGTGAAGAATATCTCTATAGATCAACACATGTTCTTTCAGCATGTTTTGTCTTCACTCATAGCAACATAAAGAAAATTCTCTAAAGGTTACTCGCCATGGAATTACTATTAGCAAATCATGCTTAAAATATCGTAATTATTATTAAAATTTGTGAGTGTTGCAAGTGGATGCTTCATGCTTGTTCGCATAAAAAATTATTACCCGAAACTGACACGTAATCATTCAAAACTCGACTCCAATTGATTGCACGTGGTGGTGATGCTTCCATAGTTTGATTGCAGTAAACTATCAAAAAAAAAAAAAAATGCAATGATATTGTGTGAACTACAAACACGTGTAGCAAGCTAAACGTTATTAGTAATCGGGAAAATCATACGACGAGCTTCCATATTGATTGAATGTTGTACATGTTTAATGGGATTTGATTCCATCAAAGGTACCAACAGATCAATTTGTTGGTCCGATTTTTTGGTCATTTGGTAATTGAAGAAGAAAACATTTCTAGTTGACTATGGTTTTTATGTGCATTACGAGCATTAGTCATGGATGTATTTTCTTTGTTAGCAGGGTTTTTGCCCGACTCAATTCATGAGGTTCGGTTAGTAATTTCGTACTCTCGACCAGCTTGAACCACTACGTTATCTATGTTCTAGTTCATTCTTATTCTCATCCTATACATGCCACCATGACTTGTAATATACCACGGTTTCAAACAATTCATTCAATGATGTGGTATATATATTAATTAATGATAAGTATCCGAGTTGAAATATTATATGTATATATATTAATTTTACTAAGTTAGGAGCCAAGGACACAAATGTAAAGTGTTTTAATTATTTTTTTTTTTCAATTTAACGACATTGGTAGAGATGTTTTTATGACTTGGTAATCTGACCAACTTAGACAACCTAGTCCTCGGTTAGTTTATTTATTTATTTATTTATTAGTTAAATTTGTTAAAAATAAAAAATTCAATTTGGCCTACAAATTGACATTCTTTTGATTGGGTCAACCTGACTAACTCAAAAATACAGTCACAACCTAATTCAGCTCAGCCTTACAAAACAAAAACAAAATATATATATTTAATATTTATAACAAATATTAGTAATAGTCTTTGATATTTTAGTTATTAATTGAACATATGTTGTGGATAAGTAGAACAACCAAACTCAACCAAAAAAGAGAGAATTGGGTTGGGACGAGTTGAGTTGTGGACCCTGTTCTAGTCATTGAGGTCACATATTTCAGCGAACCCGAAATTTTGGGTTGGTACAAAAGATTTTCCAACCCAACCCAACTCAACTCGTATCTCTGAATTGATATACATGTCAATTACGGTCGAGTTAGGCTCATTTTATCGCTAATCGTGACTTTGAGTAGATTACAAAATTGAGAATTAATTATGACCCAAAATAGAAATTAAATGGTTGGATGAAGATAAATATAAAATAATTAGGAATATTAATGTGAAAAAATTAGGGGGAAAAGGCCGGGCGTGGAAGCGTAAAAGGGACGAAGAAGTGGCCTTCCAAGTGCCCGCCACTGTAGCCGTGGGTGAGGCATCAAACGTCTTTAAACGGCGCCACATCTCTTTCAGTTTCAGTGTGTGCATATGAGCGTAGGCTCACGAACGAACGACGAACGAACAAACCCCAGGCCTTAAAACGCCCGTTCCCTCTCCCTCTCCCTCTCCCTCTCCCCGTCTTTCCATTTCCCTTACCACTTCCTGCTTCCTTCGTAATGGGGAGATTTGGGGCGGTGGTATTCATCGCCTTACTTGTTCTTGTCTGCGGATCTGTTCACGTGAGATCTGATGGATCGGATCATCGTTACAAAGATGGAGAGTCTGTTCCTCTCTATGCTAACAAAGTTGGTCCATTTCATAATCCGAGGTAATTTCATCGAATCTTCTACCTTCGTCTTGTTCAATTTCATTTGAGATCTACGATTTTGTCTCTGTTTCTTCTCTGCTACTTTAATTTTTATTTCCTGGAGTTGTACCCGCTAGGTTTCGTTGGATTCAATTACTTGTAGATTTCGTGATTTCAATCCAGATCTGAGCTATTTTGTGCAGTCAATGCGTTGACTGCGAAATGGCACTTCTGATCTGCTTAATCTTTGAGCTAAATCAATTACTGTAATCTTATTCTTTTTGAAAAATGTTGGTCTTCTGTTAAATACGTGAGGAATATTCAAGACACTCGAGATTCCGTCTTCGAGATATGCTGTTTTATTCCCTTAACGAAGTGACTGCCTCACTGACTTTGTTTTGTTGGCGTGCCTTCTTGATAGAATATCCGAATTTTCATATTTCGGGCTATTAGTTTTACTCAATTCTGGGTTCGTAGAAGTATGTTTTTTGTTTTCTCTAGGCCCTAACTTATGAAAAGTATATGATACTGTTGCATAGGCGTTTGAAGGTGTTTTAAATTGCTATCTAATTTCTCTAACATATATTACACTTTTGTTTTCTTTTGGTTACAGTGAAACTTATCGCTACTTTGATCTCCCATTCTGCGTACCTGGTATGTATCTCTTGTGTACAGGAATCTGTCGATATTTCCGATTAAATCCTCTTGTTGGTAGACGTTCTATAGGAAAAAATTGCTATTTCCCTGTTTCTCTGATTCTTCCCCCATTTCCAAATAATAATAAAATAAAAACTTGTGAAACACAGTTTTACACTGTAGAGTATATTTGTTAGATGGAAAACCAATTAGATGAATCTAAATTGCAGATCATGTGAAGGAGAAAAAGGAGGCTCTTGGTGAAGTATTAAATGGAGATCGTTTAGTTAGTGCCCCATACAAACTTGACTTCTTGCAAGAGAAGGATTCTGTTTCTGTTTGCAAGAAAAAACTGTCAAAGGAAGAGGTTGCTAAATTTCGTGCTGCAGTAGACAAGGACTACTACTTTCAAATGTATTATGATGATTTGCCGATTTGGGGTTTCATAGGGAAGGTTGACAAGGAAGGAAAAGAACCAAGTGATTTCAAATATTACCTTTACAAGCATATCCATTTTGATATCTTTTATAACAAGGATCGTGTTATTGAAATAAACGTCAGAACAGACCCCAATGCCCTTGTCAATCTTACTGAGGACAAGGAAGTTGATGTCGAATTTCTATACACTGTAAAATGGAAGGAGACGACCACCCCGTTTGAGAATAGGATGGATAAATATTCCCAGTCCTCGTCACTGCCTCACCATTTGGAAATTCATTGGTTCTCAATCATAAACTCATGTGTAACTGTCCTCCTCCTTACTGGATTTCTTGCCACCATTCTTATGCGAGTGCTTAAGAATGACTTTGTCAAGTAAGAAAATTTAGTATTCTTACTTTTTTTTTTCGAGTGTTTGTTCTGCCTTTTATTTCAACTTGTGCTTTCTTCTAAGGAAGCCACTGTCATTTTATGTTACCCTTCTGTGTCTATGATATAGATATGCCCATGATGACGAATCGGCTGAGGACCAGGAAGAGACGGGGTGGAAATACATTCATGGAGATGTATTTAGGTACCCAAAACACAAGTCTCTTTTCGCAGCTTGTCTTGGTTCTGGTACCCAACTGTTTACACTGTAAGTCATAACGTATCTTGTCAACCATCAAAGCTAATATTTATAAACCCCTGGTTCCACCATCCACTGTATTTTTTTATTAATTGTACATTTCTCTCTACAGTACGGTGTTCATTTTCATACTTGCGCTTGTTGGAGTGTTTTATCCATACAACCGAGGAGCATTGTTTACTGCACTAGTTGTTATCTATGCTCTCACATCTGGGATTGCTGGCTATGTTGCAACTTCCTTTTATTGCCAGCTTGAGGGATCAAACTGGGTAATTTCTCTTTGAATTATCTTCTTTTAATTACTTCAGTATTTTGGGCTAACAAGGTCTTCAACTTCTCAATGACAGGTCAGGAATCTACTGTTGACGGGATGCCTTTTCTGTGGGCCTCTGTTTCTGACATTTTGCTTTCTAAATACCGTTGCAATCGCCTATACAGCAACTGCTGCCCTTCCTTTTGGTACTATAGTTGTAATAGTTCTCATATGGACTCTTGTAACATCGCCGTTGCTGGTGTTGGGTGGGATTGCTGGAAAAAACAGCAAGGCTGAATTTCAAGCTCCAGTTCGTACCACCAAATATCCTAGAGAGATTCCATCTCTGCCTTGGTATCGTGGAACAATTCCACAGATGGCAATGGCAGGATTTCTGCCTTTCAGTGCCATATATATTGAGTTATACTACATATTTGCTAGTGTGTGGGGCCACAGGATTTACACCATATACAGCATCTTGTTTATTGTCTTCATCATTCTCCTGATAGTTACAGCATTCATTACTGTGGCATTAACATACTTCCAACTTGCTGCCGAGGACCATGAATGGTGGTGGAGGTATACAACTGCAACTCCTTTGTGGTTAGCTAATGATTATTTGCATTCTTTAGTATTTTACAACTTTTGTCACTAAGCCGTGTGTTTCTCTTCATCCTTTTTTGCTCTTTTAAATTTATAATACTAATTAGTAGGAGAGTATTCGGGTGGATATTATTTTTGCTCATTTTTTTCTGCCACTAAATTTTTGATGATATAGAGGCAGGATAAAGCCTGCTTTCACTAATTATGAAATGGTTTCTAGTTGAACATGACATTTATGTGAAATGTATTTGTTTACGAGATAAAAGGTCTGAGAAGTTCGTGATAGTCCTTCAGAATGTTTTTGTTGTCACCAAAAAAAACCAGCTTCGTGTTTTCTTCTCCTCCTCCTTTTCTTCCCTTTCTTAAACATTACCTTACCCTTCTTGTAGCTTTTATTACTTTGAAAAAAATTGGTTGCTTAAGCCCTGCAAGAAAGGTGTTTCTGTGAGTAATTTATATTCTTCTGGCTGCTGATATTTACTGTCAGATTTCATGGCAGTTGAATATTATTTGTTAGATTTCTTATAGTAGTCGTTAATGGATCTAAATGTTTTGTTAACCAACTGTTACTTTATGATTCTCTGTTTGGCTTACATTTCTCTTGGAGAACTCGTCACTGGCGTCAGAATATTTAGGTTGCATTTACGTGCTGGTACTAGCAATGTTAGATGAGATGGGATTTCATGTGGGTATTTGAATATCTTTGATGTATATCATAGACCTGTTGAAATGTGCTTTCAATAATTTTTTTCTAATCCGTCTAACCTCTTGAGCACTGTGACATGGAATGCATATCCATGCGTAATTTGTTAAACTCCTTTGTCTTCATTCTTTTTCAGATCTTTTCTTTGCGGCGGGTCAACTGGCTTATTTATCTATGCATATTGTTTGTACTACTACTACGCTCGCTCAGATATGTCCGGGTTCATGCAAACATCATTTTTCTTCGGCTACATGGCTTGCGTCTGCTATGGGTTCTTCCTGATGCTTGGAGCTATCGGTTTTCGAGCTGCTTTGCTTTTTGTCCGCCACATATATCGATCCATCAAGTGCGAGTAGTCCTGGTACCCTTTACTCAATACTGAGACAGAGTTATGTTTCTGTAACTTTTCATATTCATAGGTTTCAATGTAGAAAGGTTACATGCAGTTCTTTTTTGTCCTTTCGGTAATATGTCTCAAAAAGCAAAGAACAATTTCTTTAGATATTATGCTTTAAGAGTAGAGAAGCATGGGGACAGGACGGATGAACGTGCTAGATACACCAACTTGGGGAAACAGAGTCTGTACCATTACATTAGTTCCAACACTTTTGTTATAATCTTTGTTCATTACATTGTTGTTGTTCCTCACTAGTATCAACACTCTTTTATGATGAAATACTCGTAAGAGGAATTGAATTCGTTTGGTTAGTCAAATGTTCCTCAATTTTTTTGAAACCAGAAATGAGCTCATTTGGATAAAATTTCCACACTATATTGGAAGGTATCTATTCAAATTCATGTAAGATCCATCTCAGATCAAAACATTTTTTTACAAGGGTGTGAAATAGTAGATGCGTTTTAAAAACTTCGAAAGAAAGTTCTAAGAGGACAATATCTGTTATCGAGTTGGAGGGAAAGTTCAAAGAGAACATATCTGTTATTGGTGGGTTGGAGCTGCTACAAAGATTGAGATGGGTGGGTTTAGGTTGGAGCTGCTACAAAGATTGAGATGGGTGGGTTTGGGTTGTCACAATTGCACTTTGATGACAGTGAACTTGCGATTGTGCAGTACTCACTTCTTAGCAACCTTGCGATTGTGCAGTACTCACTTTTTAGCAACAAGTGAGTTAAGCTTATTCGTTCTCGTGTCGCCTATAACCAAGCGACGTATGCTCGAGCTTCTAGTCTCGGTTCAAGAAAAACGTTTTAGAAAACGGGGGCAGAAAGTTTTGAAAGCAAGATTTGAGAAATTGAAATTTGTGTTATATGGAAATGTAAGACAAAGGCAATAACAATAACTTATTGCATATAACTATCGGGCAGGGAGAAATTAACGTGAGTCGAAGAATAAAATAAAAAGGCTATCGAAGAATAAAATAAAAAGGCTATAGAGAGAAGCCAGCTGTATTGTTGCAAGACATTGATTGGAAGGTATGGAGACATGACCAAAGCTGAGTGGCTCCTTGTTTCAATTTTTTTGTAATGTAATGTGAATTTGATGATGTAAACGAGACAGACCTTTGATGTTATAAAAGAAGGGAAGGGATGTAATAGGCAAGGTAGGAAGCTCTAAGCGTGAGGTCGATGGATCGTATGGTGGTAGCGTTTATCGGGATTGGACTTCGAATCTTTGCCTTCATATGTCTCTTTATCGCCTTGGTCGTAATTGCCACTGACAAACTGGTCCTCATTGATGGCTCCGAATCAACCTTTAATGACGTTCAAGGATACAGGTTCTCTATTCTTTCTACTAATATCCATTCCAATTCACAACCTAAAATTTCTTATCTTCTTCTTTATGCAGGTACGTTTTGGCCGTGGCAATCATAGGGTTAGTCCATACAATACTACAACTGGGTTTCTCTATATACTATGCGGTTACCCAAATCGTACCCTTTTGGAAGGGACTCCCTCAATTCAATTACTACGCAGACCAGGTTTGTGTGATCACCACTTTACTATCTTCTTCGTTAATTTCTTTGACGAAAATTATCGAAAATGTTATTTTTTCAAACTTAACCTCATTGTCATGGCGTTTCAAGTCATCGTCACATTAATTTTTTGTCCAACGAATTTTTAATCCAAAGTTAATCTTGAAAGCGTTTAAAAAAGATAAAATATCATTAATTTTGAAAGAATAAAAATATTTTTTAAACAAGAGGACTCGAGCTCCAAGGGGTGGATTATGGGATCTCCATCTTAGTTGGAGAGGGGAGAGGGGAACGATACATGTTAGTGACTGTTATATATGGTGCTAGAGCCATTACATCGGAAGGACGCTGGGACTCCAAAGGGTGGATTCAGGGATCCTACCTTGGTAGGAGAGCGGAACAAAACATTTCCTATAAGTGTGTGGAAGTCTCTCCATATTAGACGCGTTTTAAAATTATAAGGCTGACGACTAACCGACAATATCTACTTACGAACATTTATTTTATTTTAAAATCGAGAAACCAAATAGAAATAACTTAACCAAATTTGTTGAAAACATGGTGATATCCAAATGGGAAAGGGCAGGTGATAAATTGGGTGTTGGCATCGGCGGCGGGGGCCGGCCTTGCGGTGTCGGCGGATCGTAAAATGTTACTGAATCAAGTTGTCGAGAACGATATCGGCGATTGCGTGGTGTTGTTTGCAGCATTGGATCAGCAGAAGTGGTTGGTTAACGATTTCTTCGATAGGGCCAATATCGCCTCTGCCATTCTCTTCCTTGCTTTCCTCTCCATCGCCACTCTCCTCCTCCTCTCTCCATTCAATCGGATCAAACCTATGCCCACCACCCAAGATCTTGAGGCCCATTCTCCGCAGGCCCAAAAGATCCAGGCCCAATCTCCACAGGCCCAAAAGGTCGAGGCCCAATCTCCACAGGCCCAGACAGTCGAGGCCCAACCTACGGAGACCTCTTCCACTTGATTTTTCCCATTTCACCGTTGCTTTTCATCTTCACTCTTTTCTTCTCTCTCGTGTATTCTTTAGCTTTAGAGAATTATCATTTTATTATATATATATATATATATATAAAATAATAAATTTAAGTTTTTTTTTTTTCTCTCGGAGTGTATATGGATTGGGTTGGAAAAATCTTATAGACCGATTTAAAATTTCAAATTGTTGTATCAGTGACTAAAACAGCTTGAACAGAGTTCACAGCCCAATCTCGATTTCGTTGGTAGATTGTTTTTTTTTTTAATTATTGGAAAAAAAATCATATTTATCTATCAGAAGGATTAGGTTGTAGCTCTATTTTATTCAAATTATTTTAATTTTTTAAAAATTTAACCCAACCCAAAAAAAAAAATCTATATTAATAACTAAAATAACATAAAATTTAATATTAAACATCTACAAATCACGAGAATGTTACCAATATGTCAAATATTTTTAATTTTTAAAGTAATTTTAAAAGTATGGTAGGGTTCGATTGCAATTGGGTTGACAATACAAAAAATGTCAATCCACAGATAACATAAATTCCCAGTTTTCAAAAATTCAACAAAAAACAAAAAAAAAAATTGGAAATGAATTGTAACCCTATTTTCGAACTGAATAAAAAATCAACTTAATTATATTTTTATTTTTATTAATTTTAAATATATTTTAAAAGTTATTCAATATAGTAAATTACTCCTATAAATCGTGAAATATAGGCAAAAATAAAAATATATCTGATTTTTAATAATAATTATTAGATACACAAATAAAATATTTTTACAATGGGAGATCGTATTTTTTAATTTTTTTTAATGTGAAGATATGAATCTCTGAACTGACATGGCCATCACTACTCAAAAGAGATGCCTAAAACTTATGGGCCTGTGCCTGCAACCCATATGACTTATAGATACTCGAGAATAAAGATTCGAATGGTTGACCTTCTAATCGAAAATTATCGTTGAGCTACGTTCATTTTTTTGTTTCCCGTTACTCCTCTCTCTAACTCTTTTTATCATATCATATTCTAACGTCCTACGTGACATGTTTTTTATTTGTCGGAGACAGTGACACATTTTGTTTCTTTTTTACGTTAGTTGAAATAGGTTTTGGGCATGGATTCAATTGTATGGAATGTCCATGTTATTGTTATCCGTCGACAAAACGTGTAATCAATCAACAGACGTTTCTTTTAAATCTTGATGAGAGAGAGAGCGTTTTGTCTTGCATGTGGTATGAGAGAGAGAGAGGCAAAGGCATGGATTGAAGGCCATAGAGAGGCACATGCAGACTAAAAAGGTCACTTGCAACTTTACAACCAAAAAGATAAAAGCGAAAATAAGCACAACCACACACATATTCATAATAATATAACATTACGAACTCGTACGACTTGGAACAACCAAATATTGTTGCCAATTACGATCGTATTGATCGAATATTATCTCCTCTAAAGTTTGAGGATTTTTCGTCGAAAAGAATCTCGACCCATATAAGTTAGGTTAGAACGAAACGAGAAACATGAAAGAATTAGAGGCTATGCTATAGCTATGGATGTAGGGGAGGAGGGAAAGGGAAGAAACACGAAAACATGGAGGACACAGTGACTTAAATAGTTGCATAATAAGTTAAATAGTCATATGATGGAGGAGACAACAACTACGAGCCTAAACCCGACATCCCACACCTTCTATCCTCGACTCTTTATGTATTTGTCTCTTTCAAAATTCTCACTTAACTCATTCACTTCTTGACGTTTTTCAACTCCAACATATTATACACCATTTGTTTTGCACTATGGAATGTACGAGAGAGAAGTTCAAGAAAAAAAAAACCCTACTTTTGTATTGAACAGTTATTAACCCGATGCTTTTAAAGAAGTTGAATATAGTTCGTCCTCAGTTCTCGTCAACAGTGGTCAAATGCCCAATGTAACGCTTTTTTGTTTATCAATTCCTTGTTTATCCACTAGGTCAAACGGGTTGATTCTTGCACCGTGCAACAACTATATTTCAATTCATCCTCTTTTTTCAAAGATTTCATAATTGAACGTCAAACCCATTTCATAAGACGAGAGTTGTGGGTGTATGGGACTCTACTCTGCTATGTGTCATGGTCATGCATGTCTAAGACGTGTTGTTTATGACCACATGTCAGATGTCCTGGTCATGCTTGTTCAGAATGTGTTGTCCATAGACGTCTTTTCTCTTTTTTGTTGTGTCAATATGATGATGTATGACTGTTCGTCAAAATCATGTCGACACCCACCATGGCTAAAATACCCCAAAATGTACTATAGGAAGATACGACTAATTGTCACTTCTTCCTACCCGGATTATATACTATCAAAGCCACTGTTGTTACCTAATCGCTTTTAGTTTATGACATTTCTTTCTTTCAAATTGTTTTCAACGTATTTTCTCGCTCACATTTTCTAAAAACATTTTTCTCAAGCGTAACTCGAGGCTCAAGCATATACCGACGTTATTTACGAAGTTCAAATTTCTCACGGTTGATTTGTTTGTTGGGTTAGAACAAGTGTCACACAATCACTATTCCACTTTCACAAGAGTGCGATTATGACACTACGCACTATCATAGAAAATACTTCATTTACCCACTAAGAAACGTTGCTTCGATCGAACCATCCATTTGAATTTAGCCATTCCTCCATCAATCACCCACAAACTTCCAAAAGCTAAACGTATGGCTAGGTTTTGATATGTACATCCATAGCTCTATTATAAACCATTTCACAATAATGGCTCCAACAAGAGACAAGACAACTTACAAACCATTTCTATATTCTTGTCTCTCATGATTTGATGTTTCCATATATATTCTCATAATTCATTACAACCATATATCTCTATAATAATATGATATTATCCACTTCGAATATAAGTTCGGGAGAGTTTTTGATATTTCTTATATAAAATTAAATTTTAAACCTATCGGGATTTATGGCTCGGATGAGCTTTGTCCCATTCAAATTTTTTTAAAAAAAATAAATTAATTTATGCTCAATATTAATTAAATTATTATGAAATGATTGAAAAAATGTAAGGAGAAAATAAAAATAGGAAGAGGATAAAAGAGTGGTTGGGATATTATTGTAAAATAAGAGGAGGGAAAAGGACAAGGAGGTAATTAGGTGAAGGAGAGACGGCTCGGCCCAACCCACTAAGGATGTCTGGAAGCCCACGATTGGACAACTCACGGCCCACTATTCCCCCAAACACGTAGGGCCCACACGTGTCATCGTTAAATTATATAAAAATATATATCTTAAAAAATAATTATTATTATTTTAAATGTTGCAATATTACTATTTTGATGTGCGGTAAAATTTTTAAACCAAGATGAAAAAATGGTCGGGTAATTCCCCACAAAAAAATCTCTTTCCCGAGTCCCAACGAAAATAATTAGTGACAGGACGGAGATGGAGACAAGATTATTCACACCCGTCTCTTGGACATCTCTAATTAGAATATTTAACAAAAAATTATAATCAAACGATGATATGAAACGACGCGACGGTTACTCGAAAGAAATATCGACGTAATTTCATAGTCATTCAGTTTGAATACTACACGAAGGAATGGGGAGATTCTCGGACGTGAAAAAGGATCCAATAACTTCAAAAAGAATTAAACGAGGAGCTGTATAAGGTGAGAATCTAATGTACGATGACCTAAAGCACGTAATTGCGTAAAGTATTATTACGTTTATACCCTCCAATTTGTATCATGTAGTACAAAATCTGTGTTGTCCCTACTTATCTCTCTAAATCCTTAAACTAATTCTTGACTAAAGTGACTGCATTAAAATTAATTAAATAATTAATTAAAATTAAGAAATAAAAATTTTAAAAATAAATAAATAATTAATTAATAGAGAAATGGGGGAGATGATGGGGGAGTGATTCGGTCCGGCATGGATCCGCATGTGTAATCATCTTCCCCAACCTTCTCTTACTAATCCCTAATCTAATCATCATTTTATTCTTAACTCAAACTCCCACCTTTTTCCCTTTCCCTTTTTTCTTTTCCCTTTCTTAATTAATTATACATTTATCATATTTAATTACTTAATTAATCCCGTGCTCGTGGGTTCACTTCATCTGGGTCGGTTGCCACACATTTTAGATGTTGATAATTATTGAGAGTGAGTCCCACATGGATTAATTCAGTGGAAGATCATGAGATTATAAGTGAGGAATACTGTCTCCATTGATCTAAAGCCCTTTGGGGAGCCGAAAGCAAAGTCATGGGAGTTCATACTTAAGTGGACAAGTGGAGAGTCAGTGATTCGTAATATAGTATCAGAATCATGCCCCAAACTTAGTTATTATGGACCTAATGGGTTCAGTGGGTTCTGTTCATTTCATTGGTCAATTCAACTCATAAAGTTTTCATGTTAGCTAACTTGGATTAAGTTGATCAGATTCTTGAGCTCATCAATTCTAACGTCGTTCACGTGTTTTGATTCTTTGTTGGTGGACCGAGTAGGTTCGTGATGACCAATCTAAAAGAGGGTTAAGTGATAGAAAGTGATTCATGGTAGGGTTTAGGTTATATAAAGAAAAGGCTTCTATCCTCTTTAAGGGATTGGTCCCAGTTTCTTCTTTCTTTCTTCCGGCAGCCACCGAACCCACAGGACACTTTGCTTCCATAAGATTCTTTTTTTCATTCACGTTCTAATGGCTAACCACCGCTCGGGATAGAGAAAAAAAACGAAGATTTCACATACTACTTTTCATCGAAAAATCAATCTAACGCTCGGGTCAGACTCCGGTTACCCGAAAGTCTTCAAGGTTCATTCATTAAGCTGCTGATATGGGCCTGTTTTCACAAGCTCCTCTATCCAGTCTTTCTTCGTTATAAGGATTGGAGTTTTGACCATGCAATGTTTAAATCATTGCAGCTTTTGGATGTTTTAATAAAAATCAAACTTCACCATCATTTGTTTTTTTTTTTTTTTTTATTTGGGTTGAGTTGAATGTTTTGGAAATCGAAAAATTCAGCTCGGCTCGGTTCCTGAGTTTGGACTTTTTTTATGGGATAACCCTAAACTCGAAAATAGGGTTCATAATCCAACTCTGTCCTTCTTTTGTGATAGAGATTAATAATATTTGACCATCGTAATCGATGTTAATGAGTCGTTGTAGCTTATGAATGTTCGATGTTTGTAGGTATGTTCATATGACCTGATAGCTTGACCGATCAGGATAACTTAACCTATGGGTTGGATTTGTTTTCTTTTTTTAATTTGGGTTGGGGTTAAAATTTTGAAAAATTTGAAAATTTAAGTTGGTTTATGGGTTTATATTTTTTTAATTAGACCCTACTAAGATTATTAAAAAAATTAAAAATATTAGACGTTTGTAACTAATGTTAGTGATGTGCTGTGACTTGTAAATATTTGATATTAGTTACTAATGTAACATGTACAGTAGATAAATATAATTTTTTAAAATAATAATAATTATAAAAAAAAACAACCCGACAACCCTAAACCCAACCCAACTCGAAAATAGAGGGTATGATTGAGTTGAGTTGAGTTGAGTTGTTAACTCTATTCGGATTGCTCGAGTTACCAACCTAACCAACTTGAAATTTCGGATTGATCTGAAAAATTTTCCCAACTCAACTCATGCACACCCGTGACCGAACCAACACAAAATTTTTGGTTAGTCTAAAAACTTTTCGGACCCAACCTAACGGGTGGTGGTTCGTAATAGAATTTTTTATTATTTTTTAAAAAAAGAAAAAGGGGAAGAAATTAGGGGAATGGATGCAGAGAAAGTTTAGGGAAAAGGCAAAGGAGGGAAGAAGGGAGCATCTTCCACAAGGAATTATGATTTCATTCACTATCATGTCCTTGGAACATGACTTTACATCTTCACTCTCACCTTTATAAAAGCTGTTTCTTTCCCACACAATTAATTAAATCCCATTCACACAGACCCTTCTGTGCCATTGCCAGCCACTGAACCCTCCAAGGGCATTTCAGTCAAACTATTATTTACTTTTTTTTATTTATTTTTTGAAAAATACAAGCCAAAATAACCCGATCTCTAACCGCCCAACTCCACTGCTACCACGTATTGTCGTCTTTATGTCTGCCACAGAGAGACAACGAGTCTGCGATATATATGTTTCCACACTTTTGTAAATAATGTTTTGTTCTCATTTCTAACCAACCTCGGATCTCAGAATCCACCCTTCCTGGGGCCAGCATCCACCGACTGGTTCTAATACTGTTTGTAACCGTCCAAGCCCACCGTTAACAAATATTGTTCTTTTTGGGCTAAAACGCGTCTACTGGGTAAAAAAAACGAGTCTACTAAAAAAATGTTTCGTTGCTCTCTCCAACAAAAGTGAGATCTCGCAATCCACCCTCCCTATACCCAGCACTCTCACTGACACACCAGTGATTGTCTCTAATACCATTTGTACCAGCTCACTAATAGCCCATATTGTTCTCTTATAGCCTTCCCTTCCGGGCTTTCCCTCAAAGCTTTAAAACTCATGTGTTAAGGAGAGATTTTCACATTTTTACGAGGAATACTTAGTTAATCTTTCTAACCAACTTGGAATCTCACATAATAAAAAATAAAAATTTAAACTGGGTTTAAAATTCGTCTCAACCCAACACATGAACATAGGACCAATGGATGGGTGTATGTATTATGATCATGCACGACCATCATTTTACACCCATGTAATTAATTTTCAGTTTTTGTTTGTTTGTGGGTATGTCTTTCCCTGATGGAGCCCATAGCTGCCTGTGGGATCAAATTAAAAACCCTTCACAATATCATCTGCTAAAGATGAGGATTGAAAATAGATATTTATAAACCCAAAGCTAATACCACACCCCTTCTAAGCTGCTACTCACTGCATTCCCCCATGATAGCCAGCGCCACCACTTCATCCGACCCTTTTTCTTCCTTGGAAAATGGCACCAAGAGAAAGCGAAGGCCTGCAGGGACACCAGGTAGTACTCATTTTTAACCTCTTCTAATGCTTGTTATGGTTCCATGAATTAACTCTAAAGGGGCTTGAATTATTGTGGCTAGATCCGGATGCAGAGGTGGTGTCTCTGTCGCCCAAGACGTTGCTCGAATCGGACCGATACGTGTGCGAGATCTGCAACCAGGGGTTCCAGCGGGATCAGAACCTCCAGATGCATAGGCGCCGCCATAAGGTGCCATGGAAGCTGTTGAAGAGGGAGAGTCCTATTGTGAGGAAGAGGGTTTTTGTTTGTCCTGAGCCTACCTGCCTGCACCATGACCCTTGTCATGCGCTTGGTGACCTTGTTGGTATCAAGAAGCACTTCCGACGGAAGCATAGCAACCATAAGCAATGGGTTTGTCAAAAATGCTCCAAGGGCTATGCTGTTCAGTCTGATTATAAAGCTCATCTCAAAACTTGTGGCACTCGTGGCCACTCTTGTGATTGCGGCCGCGTTTTCTCTAGGTAATTACGATATTGTCTACTTTGACTCGAAGTTTTCGTGACTTTGAGCGTTATTCATCCGGTTTTTTTTTTGCAATTTTTTTCATCCCTCTATATAAATGGCTCGTTATTGGTTCTGGGTCGATAGTATCTTCATCGTTCAAGGTAAGAATGAGTCGAAGAACACCGTGCACCACTGATAAGTGGTGAGGTCGGATATTGACTATCATATATAGTATTTTCTCGTAGCTGATCCGTTCATAAGTTTTTCCTCAATTCATCTTTCTGGGAATTACTAATGATGAAAATAAGTTCATAGAAGCCCGAGATCTAATTAAATTTTCACCAATTTCTTGAAATTCGAATGATTCTGAGTAAATTGAATTTTTACTATAAAAAGAAAATTAAAATAATATTCCTTATATATGTATGATTTTCTCCGATTTTAGCATGTATTTACATATATAAATTGGTGTTGATTTATATTATATAGGGTGGAGAGCTTTATAGAGCACCAAGATGCTTGCAATATGGGACATCTCCAGCAGCAATCCCAAACCCTCCAGCCGGCTGCATGTTTGTCCCAAACGGCATCGAGTCCAAGCCCATCCAGCGACACCAACATCAGCAGCGCACCCACTTGGGCAGCTCTCATAGCGCCACCCATTTCAAAGCCTCCGGACGCCAACAATAATGGCTCACCACACGATCACAATCTAGACCTCAAACTCTCAACTGGGTCGAATTCGAATCCGCATCCGAATCTTGTAGAGGGAAACAAAGGCTGTTCTTCTATCAAACTCCAGCTCTCGATTGGATCATGCGAGTTCGTGGACGGTGCGAGAGATGTTAGAGACGAAGCTGGGCAGACACTAAGAGTTGCAATGGCGGAGAAGGCGTACGCGGAGGAAGCTCGACAGCAAGCCAAGCGGCAAGTAGAAATGGCGGAGCAAGAATTCGCAAATGCCAAGAGAATGAGACAACAAGCACAAGCGGAGCTCGATAAAGCTATAGCCCTCAAACAAACAGCAATCAAACGGGTCAATTCAACTATTCTTGAGATCACTTGTCAAGCTTGCCAGAAGCAATTTCAAGCCAAAACAACAACTACAACAACAGCATCGACTACTACTACAACAACGGCATCGTGCCGATCGTGACAAGTCCAAGGCATAGAACAAGCATTTTTGGGAAGTGGGTTTTGGGTTAATTGTGAAAACGTTGAAGAATTTGTTGAGAATAATGAGAGAGGGTTTTGGGATTTAGTGTTTGGAGGATATGAGTACAGTTTGAGCATTTAAGAATGGGACTGACCAAGAATTTATAGCTGAATATCATTAGATGGTGAAAAAGAAGAGAGAGAATAATGGGTAGCAGCAGCAAGGCAGCGGCAGCGGCAGCGGCATGTTTTTCAGTGCCACTGTGGTAGAAGGATGGCATAATCAGCCCTCACTCGTCCCTCTCAACGCTCAGCTAGCAGACACCATTCATAATCAATACTTCATTTTTCTCTCTCTAACTCACATATGAATCAGCGCCCTTCTCTTCCCTTATTCAAAATTCAATAACCCTAATTTTTATTTTTATCATTCAATTCCCTTTCTTCCATTCTTTTGGGTGTTTTTCTTTCATAACCGTTACAATCTCTTTCTAGCATACACGTTTTAAAACTTTGGAGAAACTTGAAAGAAAAAAAAAAAATCCTTGGTAGCATAGTTAGACATGGGGTGATGTGCCAGCGAAAAGACTAAACTTCGATGGAATTGATACGAGACGGTGTGCTAGTAAGGTCACTAATTCCAAAATGGGGTGAATTGGGGAGGGGGGGAGGTGCTCATTGATTGAAGAATGGAACAAGTGTCAGTGAAAACACTAAACCCTGAAGAAGGTAGATTGTGAGATCTCATATCGATTGTAGAAGGGAACAAAACATTCTCTGTAACGTTGTGGAAACCTCTCCCTAACAAACGCGAGAAAAAACTTAAATTATGATGTTTGTTACGTCCCGAGTATACAAAAATGACATTCAAAATATCTAGACATATCGACTTTTTGATGATCGTTCTAACAAGGTTTATCTGAGTAAAAAGTCATTAGAATATTAGATGAGTAATCGCATAACGACTTAAGAGACAAAAATCTTTGTTGCATTCGTTGTTAAAAAAAGGGATATTTATAATTCGAGAGAGTTGGATTTTGTGTTTATTAGAGTAGAAATTGGTGAGAATATTAAATGAGAAATAGAAATAAATGAAATTAATTTACACAAAACATCCCAACAAAGATTCTTTTTCTATTTCCTAAATTACTTTGTCTTTTTCGATGTCATTTATGTTATTGTTTAGTCTTTTCATCTTACCTTTTCAATTTTATTTTACTTTGTTTGAAATAAATAAATAAATAAATAATTAATTATATTTATGCAGAAAAAGGATCAAACTTTATCAACTTTGACAAAAGTTCTCCAACCCAGAGGAGCTTTTTGCAACTATAATTACTCACTGAAAACCCCGTGACTTTTTCATCAATTTTCACAATTTAAATAATTATATTATATTTGGTCAAACTTTTGGTCAACCCTGGGTCCCACTCTTCAATCCTCACTTCTTAATTAAAACACTAATATATTTATATTTGTTGGGCCGCTCAGTTCGTTGTTAATGGGCTGGTCTGGGTCTGTCGGCTTGGCCCAATAGTGAGGAGAAGTCTTGCTCAATGTGGCCCACTTGCCTTAACCGATATTTATATTTATATATATTTTTTTAATATTTATACCTAAAATATTAATTGTTTGGTGTCGGCAAAAAATAATAATAATTATAATGTGACCATGGAAGAGGCCTTAAACATGTGGGGTAAGTTTTGATGAATTGTGACCGGTTGGATTGAACCGAAATTTTGTTGATTTTTATGATATTATTATTTTTGGGCTTTCCCTTTCGGACTTCTCCTCAAAACTTTAACACTGCTAGAAGAAGGTTTCCACACCTTTATGTTTTGTTCTCTTCCCCAACCAATATGGGACATCGCAATCCACCTCCCCTTCGGGGCCAGTGTCCTTGTTGGCACGCCTTCTTTTCTCCAATTATGCATATTCCCTTCGGGGAACAGCGAGAAGACTGACACATCATCCGGTGTATGACTCTGATACATATATTTTGTAATGACCCAGATCTACTGCTAGCAAATATTGCATTCTTTGAGCTTTCCCTTTCGAGCTTTCCCTCAAATATTTAAAATTGCACTGGGGAAGGTTTTCACACCCTTAAAACTGAACTAAGGCAATTTCATTTTCCTGTTCAACACATTGTGAAAGATGGAGTTAATCCTCTGAAGGTATGTGGGTAATAGGCCTTTCCAAATCCTGATAAGGTCAGAGGGTAATAGGCATTGCCTTAGCCTTTCCTACCTCAGAAGGTATGTGGGTAATTCGCACTGCAGTATTATACAGAATATGCAAAAACAGGATATGACTAACTCATGATAAGGTAAGGTATGAGGGTAAGATAAGGTCAGAGGGTAATAGGCATTGCCTTAGCCTTTCCTACCTCTGAAGGTATGTGGGTAATAGGCTCTTTGGGCAAAAACCGGATATGGCAAAAATAGGATAGGGTAAGGTAGGATAGGATAGAGCAAGACTTAAACACTTATCGAGCCTAAGATATTAAAGATAGTTGTGTTTACCTTCACATCTGTGTCTAGACTTATCGAGAAGTGTCTTTCGTAAGGTAAGGTCTTAGGGTAGGACTACCTCATGATAAGGTAAGGTAGGATAGAGCAAGACTTAATAAGTTGTTTCCCTTACTCGCCGCTGCTGTAGCAGTCACTGAAGGAAGTTCCACTAAGCCTTCGGTACATATTTATTTTATTTTTATTTTATTTAATTATTATTATTTTTTTGATTACTTATTCTCGAGTTACTCTTAAAAATAATTTTTATCTATCTTTTGAAAATATACATTGAAATTAATTACAAATTTTAATTAAATATTTTAAAATAAATAAATTTATGTTTACAACTAATATTTTATATTTATTAAAAAGAAATTAATAAATAACTCGAACCACATCCCCTAAAAAAATTATGATTGGATTGAGTTCATTATTTAATACGAGTTATTTAAGTTGAAAAAGTTGTCTTTATGAGACAAATATAAATATATATATTTTTATATAAATATAAAGTTGAATTAATAAAAATATCACCGAACATTTCACTTTGTTTAAAAATACTTGTAAACATTAAAAGTTTTCAAAAGTTAATCCATGCTTTGATACAAACTTCAAAAATACATTTAAAATTAAAGTTCAAAAATACATTTTTACTACGGCTTTTATAAATAATATTCAAAATAAATATAATTTATGATAGTATAAATGTGGGGAGGGTTAATGTTATTTTTAAAATTTAATGAGTATTTTTAATATTTTTTTAAAATATTAAAGATATTTTAAAAATAAAGTATGGTTCAAAAATATTATATTATTTTTTTTAAAAGATTAAGGATTTTTTTTTAAAAAAATCACAAATATCTGACACTTACACAAAACTTCAGCTTAATTACGGTTTACCCAAATTTCGAGAGAGAGAAATCAGAGACGAACAGGGACGAAATACGGATGAAAAGGGGTTAGTAGGAGCAATTGGCAAGAGACGTTCTGATTCTTGGTTCAAGTGGAAGAACATTTTTGATTTTTGGTTCAAGTGGAAGGACGTGACGCCAGGACTATGAAGGTGGAATTTTCAATGTAGGTACATTTGCTATACTCAGGAATTTGTTTATTTTCAATTCGTTCAGTTGATAATGGTTAGCACTTACAAGCATGGATGATTGATGGAGGCTTTTTTTTCTCTTCTTCTTTATGCAAAGGTTTCGAGACAATATGTTATCTATCTCAAAGTTTACGTGGTGAGACTATGGAGTGGCTCTTGGCAATTGTTGCAGCAATCATATGGAGAATAAGGGTTCGCTTTCTCATAGCCGTTCCGAGAACAACGGTTCTGGTAATTGTAATGGAGTACAGAGTTTGAAGCGGAGAAAGGTAAATAATTCGCAGAGAACTTGCGCGCGCGCGCGCATATAATAGTTTTCAAAATGTCTAGAAGTAAAGGATGTTTGGTGCTTTTTTGACTACAAACTCAGATAATCGAGCAGAAAAAAGTCACCGATCAACTCATTGAGGTCGCTTGCGCCCAGAAAGACCATCTTTCACCCTTTCCGTCATTGCGCCACTACAACCGCGGCGGTATGCAAACTATCATGCTGTATCATAAACATCCCAGAACCATCTAAATTTAGTACTGACAAGTTTATTTGTTGTTTGGTTAAAAGAAAAATGAAAAGAAAGGGGAAAACACCTCATTGTTATGATTGGCCGGACAAAACACCATGCTCATAATTTACGAGGGCAAACTTCCCTCATTGGATATTTTCATGTCTAGAAAATGCACTTTTCAAGAGAATTACAAATCACAGTCCTGCATTGAAAAATACTCTTGAGCAACGATGTGGTTTGTAAAATTTAGAACCACACATTTCTTTAACGAAATCAACACATGGATTATTACATGTGTATACGGCTACGTGAAAACTAATTGATTGAAGGGTATGATTGGACAACTTACAGAACAGAAGATGTTTTTTAAAGTTCTTTAAATATAGAGGTAAGAATGAAAATAAAAAATAATAGTAAAACCACAAGTGTGTAATTTATGATTTTCCGTCCTTTTTATGCATTGGTCTGTCCAGTAGGTCAAATTACGTAGGTTGACTATGATATCAAACTTAAATGGTTAGTTTGCACTCAGGATTTGGATATTCAGAAACAATACTTAAAAATATCCTATGGATTTCTGTCTTGTATAAATTCTAGGACCCTACTGGCTTTTAGAAGTTTAATCACAAGCCTATACTCTACGACGTTTTGGACAAATTGAGCATATGCACTGGTTTCCTTGATTTTGAATATTATGAGTTAAGATTTAGGCATATACATTTTCTTTCCTTTCAACTATTGTCCTGACACATTTGGGCTATTCTTTTGATTTCCTTGCAACTATTGTCCCGACACATTTGTTGGTTGTATAAACATATATGCGCATAATGGGATGCCTACTTCTCCTTCATTTCTAGGTCTATCTTTATACCTGCAATCAGGCCGTGGCAATAAGCTTTCTTGTTCTGTTAAGAAATACATTCAAAATCTCCTCAAGGTAGCAACTGACTGTCTCATTTCTCACATATGTATGCAATCATTGTAATTTAGTGTCTTATTAATTCTTGGGGTTGAAAGATTGTTCACTTTATTTTCAAAGATCAATATGGAGGGGCCATATGGATCTCAATGGCCAACTGAAGAGAAGGTGAAGCACAGGGAAATGGTTTCAACACAAGCACGTTATATATTTGTGCACGAGGCTTCACATGCTAATGCCAATGGGAAGCCTTCAAAATCAGATGCAGAGAAGACAAGTACAACTCTAAATAAGAAGGATCCCATGGTTGCATTTGTACACTTTCGATTTATTATAGAAGAAATGATACCTGTGCTATATGTGTATGAGCTGCAGATTGAGCCTCGTTTCCAAGGAAGAGGATTGGGGACTTTCTTAATGGAATTAATTGAGCTTATTGCTTGCAAGGTTCCCGTTTCTGCCTTTTCTTTGCCTCCTTGTGTTCACAAACATAGATACCTCGAATAAATATTGTTTTGAACTAATCTTGAAACTCCAATGAACTTACACAGCATTTTAGTTGTACATAAATTTAACTATTCTCACCATATTGTTCTTAAATCTTCTGCCGAGCATTCTCTCTAGGATGTTTTTTTTTTAAATCAATTCATTCCTCTAATTTGGATGTTAAATTTTGTAGAACTGCATGGGTGCGGTGGTTTTCACTGTTCAAAAAGCAAACTTCAAAGCTTTGAATTTCTACCGAAACAGGCTGCGGTAAAATGTCTTGCTCAAATTCATTGGTGGTGCTTTTGTGTTGAACTATTTGAATATAACAATTTACGAGGACCATTCCATTTTAGTTTCAGCTGAATTACGGTGATGCTTTTGTGTTGAACTTTTTGAATATAACAATTTACAAGGACCAATCCATTTTAATTTCAGCTGAATTTATTTTCTCCCTTATAATATGAGTTGGACTCTTTTATTATAATTATTTGGGGTGGGGTACCTAGTTTCATTCACTATAGGTTTGAGATTTGTACCAACACTTTTTTCTTTATTAGCGAAGGTAAAGTGACCAATATTACTAGGGGTGTACGGTGTCCAATGAAAAGAACTTGTTCTTCTGGAAAATTTGGCTTGGCAGATAGAATTGTTTAGAGGATTGGGCTCGGTACTGCAATTTGACCAAATATAAATACAGACATTTCGTGAAAAGGTCCTAATTACAATTTGAGCACCTGCTTATTAGCTATTTTACCAGTAATTAGTATTATTTTTGCTCGTATGAAAATTTACATTAGTCGGTGACTCTCTTTCTATCTCCAGTGCTAATGTCTGTCCAGATCTCCCCCTTTCTAAATCTCTCTTCTCGCCCTTGTCTTTGTCTCTTGCTTCGATCTCAATTGCTATCATCAAACTTATCTAGTAATAAAAAGCAACAACAAATTGACCGATTATTTTGCTCCTGTGTGTATATATTTTAACAAGTTTTCTCACCTGTCCTACTCTCCGCTGGAGATTGATGTTCAGAAGGAAGTGGCAATAATGGTGCCGTTCATTTAACTGCCAGGGGACTATAACTTCTTTTAGTGTGAGAAAATGATAAATAAAAGCCTAGTAAGAAAAAATAATATTAACTCCTTGTTTCATTTTAAAAGACCACATAGGTTGTTTCATATCATCCTTAATGAAACAAAAGAATCATGGTTCCATTGTAGACCCCATCCTCGATCATTTACATTATTTTTGTTCTCAATGAGCTTGTTGGACCTGGAGATGTGTTTGATTGACATTTTATGAAGATGAATTGGTACATTAAATAAAACCTTGATCATAATGGAAAAGGCCCTTGTAATGAAATCTATAGTTTATGCCAACTTAATAGGACATCAATAGCACTTCTTGGGTTTTGATGCTGAAATGATTAGAATTGTTTGTTTTCCGTATTATTGATTGGACTGTAATGACTAATATTTGCCTTTCATATTTTCTTTTACAGATATACCATTTCATCTATTTCACCCTCACGTGCTAATTCATTGGTATACTATGCATCGAACTACCATGAGATTACAATGCATGCCGTTATTTGAAAGCAATATTCTGAAATTAGTTTCTTTTATTATTCCCAGATGGCAATTGATGCAAGCTATGAAATTCTCTGCAAAGCATTTAATGAAGAAGCTAAAGCTGTTTTGGAGGTATGATTCCATTCCATGTGGCCTGTAATTCACCTAAATTCTGTCACGTAAAGGGTCACATAATATGTGTCCACAACTGAATTTCTTGGGCTTCAGGATCTGTTCTTACTGTTCAAAACATAGTGGCATCTTTTATAACCAAAATACATGATACAAGTATTTCTTTTAGAACGGCATGATGGCTGGATAGAAGTTATTAAAAGGGTATCGCAATTATAAAAATGGTAGTGTCATTAGATGGACTCTTATTGTGGTAATTTTGGTGGCTGAAGTGTCGAATGGTTAAGTAGATCAGACGTTTAGGATTTCAGCTCATCTAAACCAATGTCCACTTACCTTTTTCTCTCCCTCTCACTCTCAGGGTGATATGAACACTGGTGCAATGGGAGTGAGCTTGTGAAGACGATCAAGCGAAAAATCTTAATTGTTTTGTTAAACTAGGAAGAAATGTGACACGAAACGTTCGACGAGAATGGGTCTTTATTGTTTGTTGAGAAATTAAACAATAGGAGAAGCTTGTGATTCCTCCTTTTCAGTTCTAAAATCTGTTAGACTCTGCTACGAAAATAGCCCAAACAGTTCGGTGATGAGATAACTTGAACTCTCTACTGTGTTGGATTTGCTTCAGCCCCTTCCCAAACCAAATTATTTGATCCAACTTACGAAGAGCAAACTTATTCATCTAACATGTTAAATTGGTAAAAGTGGTATGAAAAGCATAGTAAGGCATGTGTAACATAAGTATCAGGCGGGTGCGTGTGTTGTTTTTCGGTCATACTCAATGTAGTAGTCGGTTTAATTGGGACTCTGCAAACTCTAATTCTTCTTCATGCCAACCTTCTAAAATATGTCATTCCTTGAACTCTGCCTTTAGCTTTTCATTTCTTTGATAGAAAATTTTCCTTAAACTAGCTTGGTATATTTATCAATTCATTTTTTTCAATCTAGAATATACTATTGATTTCCATCTGTGCCTTTTTTGAAGTTTTACGTAATTGGTAGTAGATCCATTTGCTGTGTTGTAACTTGTAACAATGATAGATATGCAAGTATGTACAATGCTTGATCATTTTGCAGCAGAACGTTCCACTTCCCTTTGTTGACAAGAGATTGTGTAGTGGAATCAGTCTAATAAGTTCTGTAATTGAAGTCCCCAATCCAAATCATCCGCTGCATTCAAATGGTTACTGGATCATTTGCGAACCAATGAATTAAAGCGTGATATTAGTTATGTACTCGTTATGCTAAAGTTTTGAAGAAGCCCCTTTCGTTGCATGCAGTGCCAAGGCATGGTGTTTCATGATTCACTGCTTTTCTTTTAATGCACCAGCCCATGTAAATTAATCGCATATCATTATTTCTCTTCGCGGGAAATAGCTACACTGCTTTACTTTCCAGACAACCCATGATGCCACGCACACACAAGAAACACTTAGGGGAGCATACCGAACCACTGGAATAGGCCTTCTTGGCATGCCTTTTGATGAAGCTTTGTTTGTTGTTTTGTTGCTAACAGGGGTCAGCAATCTCTCGTTCAGAGTTGTTCTAATTACAGAATTCCACCTCCCTGAATCCTTCTTGTTATCGTCAATTAGGACGTTTCAAGCATTCAGAGGTACAATCTCTTGAAATCTATAACCTACTGTTACTTGAGATGTTGTTGCCTTCTGTTATGTTAGCTTTATTTCAGTCTTATAACATACTGCCAGTCTTCTTGTAAACAGTCTACTGCTTTGGGTTCTTCAGTTGAATAATATGTCTCTCGATATTTGGTATCATCATCTTGGGCATCCCGCCCTTTCAGTTGTTAAACAAGTAGTTAAACATTGAAACTCCAATTTGCCTACTAACGCAGTTTCTTTTTGTAATGCTTGTGCCATAGGCAAACACTGCTCACTTTCTTTCTCCTTCTGTTACCTCATATGCTGCACCTTTAAAATCGATTGTAGCTAATTTGTGGGTGGACCTTCTTACAATTTATCTAGACATGGCTTCCACTGTAACATTAGCTTTGTTAATCATTTTTCTGGATACACTTGGATTTATTTTCGTCAAACAAAATCTGAAGCTTTCCAACCTTCCATAACTTTTAAGTTGTTTGTTGAAAAAACAGTTAGACACACCAATCTTTAGTCTTCAAATTGGTGTTGAAGCTAAGTGTAAACCGTTGGTTCATTTTCTTCACATGGCTTTCGAATTGGGCTTCTGGCCTTGATGGGGGGGGGGGGGGNGGGGGGGGGGGGGGGGGGGGGGGGGGGACTCGACGTTTTTTAGCCTCTTATCACATATATTTCTTGGTTTATTATTAATCCAGTTTTTATTGGCTATAACTGTTTGCATTCTCTGTGGTTGATAATCCTGTGATATGGGTTTATTTAAGCACTTAAGGTAGCTTTATTCTTTGGCGAAGTGGTGCAATTTTGCATTGTTCTCTCTTATTTTGTGTGGTTTGTTTGAAGTTAATTTAGAAGTTAACATTGTTTATAGCTTTATTATTCTTGTTTACTAGTTTTCACCTCCAATCTAGTGTTTTCATGAAGGGTTGTCTTATCCTTTATTTTGATTTTTTTAAGGTGGAAAGCAAAATATTGTAGGATTGCTACAGCAAAGCTGTAGCATCTTGAGCTGGAGAAAATAGCATAAAAATGGCGTGGACTCATTGGCAACTCATTTAAAACAGAAAATGAAAAGAAAAAAAGAATGGAATCTGAAAAAAGGAGGAGAAGCCGATTTGAGAGGAAGAAGAACAACAAAGAATTGGTGCAGAAGAAGAAGTGAAAGCTGAAACACAACTTTGCTGCAACATTTAGTACCTCAAAACTTCCCTTTCTTCTATTCTTAGATTACACTTTAGCTTGTAGTTTTTTTTTTTTTTTTTGAGAGTTCTATTTGTTGTTCTAGGATTATTGTAGCTTTGATTCTCTGTGTTTAAGGTCTAATTTTAATGAAACTCTGATGTTCTGTTGAATCTCTTTTGAATGAATAGTAGAGATTTTGAATGAATAGAAGCGAACTTCATGACGTGGAACACAACTTTTAGTTTGAAATTGATTCGTTCATGTTCGAATAGAGTTTGAGAAGCGCTAGAGAAATTCGATTTCATGAAAAGTTGGAAAGATTCTAGGATCTTTGCTATCTTAAAAAGATACGTGAGATTCGTGTTACTATAATATAATATATATAGAGATAATGTTGAATATTTTATCTCAGTAACACTACTAATATGATCCATTTTGTAATAGTTGTAAATGATATAATTTAAATCATTAATATAAAAACATGTAGAGTTAAAATATCATATACAATGAGTTAATATAACAATGGACTACAAAATATTTTATCTTTCTTTACACTTTTTGTTAATTAATAAAATTAATATTTCAGTAAGATACATCACATGAGTAAAATAGATGAATAATTATTTAACGTATTTTAAAGACATTTTCAAAATTAAGAGTATTATTGAAATTTTTAAAAATTTAGGAATATAAATAAATTCATATTTTTTATTTATTTAGTATATGTATGTATGTAATATATATATATATATATATATATATATATATATATATATATATATTATGTATATTATAAATAAGAGGAAGTTCAAAGTTATTTATTTATTTTATTATATAGTTTTTGAATTTGTGGGTGCTGGAGTAGTGTCGACTGAGCCCACCCCGCGGCTCGCGCCGCCGCAAGGCCCAAACAACCCTTCTGAGAGCACTCCTAAAAAGAATTATCTTTGTCCTTTCTTTATGGGTAAAATGAAGGCTATAAGAGTACTCAAATTCCCGACGAAATTCAACTGTGATCAACCGTAATCGTGCTGCTCCCACGCCGGTTTCTCATCGGAGATTCGCCATGAAGTATCGTTATGCAATGGTTTGTTCATCCAACCAGAATCGAAGCATGGAGGCTCACTCTATCCTCAAAAGCAAGGGCTTCAATGTTTCATCCTATGGAACTGGGGCTCACGTCAAGCTTCCTGGACCTTCTCTCCGAGAACCCAATGTATACGATTTTGGTACTCCCTACAAGCACATGTTCGATGATCTCCGCCGAAAAGATCCTGAACTGTATCCTTTTTCTCCCCCTCCGGTGGTACTAATTTCTTGTCTTAAGCATTTGTTTTACTTAACTTCCGAGTTGGACTGTTCTAGATCTCAGTAATGGTTTAACCTTAAAACTTGCATAGATACAAGCGTAATGGCATTCTGCCTATGCTTAAGAGAAACGCAGCAGTCAAAACGGCTCCTCAACGTTGGCAAGATAATGCAGCAGACGGTTTCTTTGATGTGGTATTTACTTTTGAAGAAAAGGTCTTTGATATGGTTATTGAAGGTTAGTTTGCCATCTTGAATTTATGCTTGTGAAAGTTAATGGCTCTGCAACGTACGATAGTAGAATTCTTGGATTCTTTTGCGAGCTCTAACGATGCTTTTTTTCAAGTTTACTTCCAGCAGTTCTGTGCTATATATATAAGATTTATTGTGACTATATTGCCATTGGGACTTGGTTGTGATGGATTGCTGTTGGACCAAGAAGTTGTTAGGTGCTTATAAGTAGTTTGATGATCAATCCCTAGCATTTATATAAACAGTGATTACATATTCTATATCAGCTTCTGGAGGTTTTTTTCTTTGTGTTTTTTAATTATTAATTAGAAGTCATGAATCCTTGACGAAAGACTTTGTGTGAGGAAATTTTACTTGTAGAGAGGAAATGGCCAGTGTGCCAGTGTAAGATCAGGGTAAGCATTAAGCGGGAGAACAGTTGAGTCATCGGTAAGAAATCGAGCTTTCATTGAGAAAAATGAAAGAATATACAAGGGCAATAAAAAAAAAAAACAAGCCCAATAAAACAAAACAAACATCCCTAAAAGCTACAGAAAGGGACTCCATTGTAACAAAATCACGCCAAGACCATAATTATAGAAAGGCTTAGTGACTGATGCCCACAAAGAGGCATTAAACCTAACCACCATCTAGACCTCATCCACAAGGCTGCTTTAACTCTCTCAAATTTTGATTGTTTCTTTCAACCCAAACTCCCCCAAAACAGTAAAGAAACTAGCATGCCACAAAATAGTCCCACTCTCACGAAAAGGTGACCCCATAAGCGCCTTATCGATTGAAGCAAAACAATCATCATTCCACACCCAAATTAAATCAAAGAAGGAGCACCTACCCAAAGGGACTGACTACAAAGGATAAAATAGGCGTTTTTAACTCCTAAGCTATGCTCATGTTGGTTGCAATCATAGATGGTATAGTAGTGATATTTAGGCTCGGGAAGAATTATGTTTGTGTCAGATGCATGTGTCACTGTCATGTTGGTTTTTAGGTAAATTTAGTAATATAATTCATAATGGCTTGGATAAAAAATGTTATTTTTCCCTTAGAAATAGGATTTTCTTCCCTGTTGCAAACCACATCTAATAATCCAATATGATTTTTCTCATGTTATTTGACGTTGAATAAAGACAAACAATTATGAAGTAGAATGAATGGGATACATCTGAAAACTAGGGAAAAGACAGCCTAAGAGCTCCAATTTGAGAAAGTTAAAAGCAGTATACTTAGTTTTATTCCCAAAGGCCCGTTATAATGGTATTCATGCAAAGAATTCGAATATTTGCCAATTTTTTAGGTTGTGCTCAGGTAAGCACTATTCTATTCCATGGTTTCTTTAACTGATGATGGGAGGCTTCAAGAGATGCTGAAATTGTTGATGATGTATTTCCATAGAGAGTTTTTGTATTTACTGTGAAGAAAAAGATAACTTGTTTCTTCCCTATGCCCTCTCTACAAAGGATATGCCAGTTTTTTGGAGACAATTTTGATGCCTAATTTGAAATCACTCCTTGCTGTTAAGTTCTTCAATGGAAAGCTGCCAGAAAGTTATTTAAACCTTCTTACGGATATTACTTCTCCAGATGCATTTTGTCATGTGATTACAGATGGCCAATTGACAAATCCTCGATCTGATTTTACTAGCAAATGAGGTTGTGGAAGTTTATAGAGCTAAAAAGAAGCGAGGATGGATTCTGAAATTAGACATTGAAAAAGCTTTTATTTGTGTTGATTTTCACCATTGTCAAGATTAATTTTATACAATTTCTCTGCTATACAACAAGTCTTATAGATGGATTTCCAGTCCCCTTGGTTGGGCGGGTGGCCTTTCTAATTTGGAACCGCTCCTCCTTCGCTAGCGATTACTTCTTTCCATAGGGCAGCTGGCCCTTTCATAAATCTCCATCCCCATTTTGCAAGTAAGCTGATGCTCTACCTTTAAGTTTTTTCATAACAAGGTTTTCTCTAAATGTAGGGAGTGATGTGGTCTTCCAATTTACAAGAATGCCACCACTCTCTCTAGAGGCTCCTCTCCAGAAGAAATCATATATAGACGTCTCCAGACTCTGTAAAACCTTCCCAAAGCACTAAAAATTTAGAGGTAATAGATTGGGATGCTAGAAAGAACTGCATTAGCAAGTGTGTGTTGAATCTCTTGAACATAAAAGATTACCCTAATTTGAGAGCTTAGAGGCTATCTTCTCCTCAACTGGAGTCCAAAACATTTGAAACTTAGGGTTGCTCCAATGACACTCTTAACTCCTAAGTTAGGCAGAAGCCAGTTCCCAACATTGCAATTCCATCTTTCAGCAGCATTCTTTTCTTTGCTTTCATCTAGATTTGTGACCGAAATGGTAATCTTCTACCAATTGATTTTAAGCCCTAAAACTAGCTAAAAAATGTCGACAATCTCCTTTGACTTTAACTTATCTTCACTATATTCTAAGAACAAGACTCACGTGAATTTGATATCTACCCACCAAGAAGCCATTTACGCTTCCTCTTTCATAAGCCTTCTCCAGCATTCATCACATCAGCTACAATCACAAAGAGAACAGGGCTAAGGGGTCTCTTGCCTCAAGCCCCTAGATTCTTAAATAAGGTCTCTTGGCCATCTAAAACAAAGATTGGAAAAAAGGTGTTAGTAATATAACTTCTATCCATCCCACACACCTTTCTCCAAAGCCTTTGTTTTGAAGGACATCAAGCAAGAAATCCCAATCCACGACTTCCTAAGCTTTTTCAAAGTCAAGCTTGATGACTCAACCTTTCTTCTTCTTGTATTTATACTCACCAACTAGCTCATTCGCCACGAGGATTAAATCAAGGGTCCGTCTTCCAAAATGAACATCAAGTGGATAAGAGAGATGATAAGTGGCAACACATCCTAAGCTTTTTCGACATCAAGCTTGATCACTTAACCTTTCTTCTTCTTGCATTTATACTCACCCAATTAGCTCATTTGTCACAAGGAATAAATCAAGGGTCCGTCTTCAAAAATGAACATCAAATGGCTATAAGAGATGATAAGAGGGAACACTTTCCTTAGCCTATTAGCAAGAACTTTAGCCACAACTTTATTAACACTAGTTACAAGGCTAATGGACCTATAATCAGCCACCTTTGGCAATCCTGTTCTTTTCAGGATGAGGCATAAGTAGGTTTTGTTCATGCTCTTGTTTAGGACACCTTTTGTCTCTTACCAAAAAAAAAAAAAAAAAGAAGATACCCCTATATTATCTGATATTATGTCAAGGAACTATTGTTTAGTCTGATTATTGCATCATAAGCTTACGTTCTTGGCGTTCAATGTGTGCTTATGTTCATATATACTTTTTATATTACTCATTTATCAAGGTGACCGCTTCTGAAATATTTTTCCTACTCAACCGTCTGATGATAATTATGCAATAATTGAGCAGATCTCAACACACGTGATCATGCACTGATGAAAACTGTACTGATTGTGAACTTGGAGGTAAAAGATAACCACGAGGAGGCAGCTATAGGAGCACGGCTTACTTTTAATCTTTGCCAGGAGGTCCAGCTCTCTTGAATTTTATTCTTTTCATTATTCGTTTGTGTGGATTTGTTATGATTTTTTTTTTTTGTTGCTTTTTACGATAGATTGAACGGGCTGAATCATGG